GGGGGTGAATCGAGCGTGATGACAACCCAGCCTCTCCAAATTCAATCCGTCTGTATCGGCAGAAACCGCCAACGCTTCGAAAAACCCTTGGCTGAGTGAGTCAGCGCGACAGGGGCGCGGGAGGAACCAACGTGACATCCTTAGGGAAGTGCCAGCAGGGAGAACGTCCCAGCCAGCCCCTCCAGGCAGGAGCCGAGCCCGTGGCCTGGCCCAGAGCGGGGCTCAGACCCGGCGATCCGGGTGGCAATGACCGCGATTCGTCCCTTCCTTCGCCGGGCTGGTCACCGACCTGGCAGCAGGGGGGGCCAGCGGGCGCGAAGGGGAGAAGGGCGAAGCAGCGGGACGCTCACCTTTATCCTGAGCTTGGTCAGCAACATCCACTCGTATTCTTCTGTTCCCTAGGGACTGAAAAACACCAGCGAGAAATCAGCCCGGCGGCCTGGAGGTGCGCGAGGAGCCGATGCCGGGGTGACGCCCGAGCACCGAGCAGGCAGCTCGTACCATACAGGGGTTGGCGGCCTTAAAAAAAAACAACCCCCATGTTTCCCCCCCATTTAAGCCCTGGCTCTACGGAAAGACCCTCCCCAAGGCTTCTCCCGCAGTTTTTCAGGACCCCGCCCGATCTGACGGGGGGGGGGCTCGCAGGCAGCGTTCCCGCTCCGTCAGGGCTCGGACTCACCTCTTCATTGAGGCTCAGGGCCTGGAACAAGGAGTCTATGTCTTCAAACTCAGCATAACCAAAACCTTTTAACCTCTCCGGGTTGGTAGGCTCCCGCGGCAAGCGTACGGCGCTTATCTGCGGTCAGGGAGAAGAGAGGGAAGCGCTCGGTAAGGGTCTCGCTCCCCGGTGGTAACGCCACGGGGCAAGGATCGCGTTATCCGAGCCCAGGTGACCGACTGCTGTCAAGGGATGAATAAATTCTCTCAACGACAAGGAGGCAGCTTCAAAAAACCGGGTTGAAAACCAGTTTTGGACCTGTTCAGCCGAGGCTTTTTGCGTTCAACGCCAGTCGGCAGGCTGCAGGGACGGCTTGCCGGCTTTGCTAGGCTAGACGCTGCGCCTTACGTCGCGCTGGAAGCCCTCGGCGCTGCTTCCCGGCCCTACCGCGCGTCCCGCTGCACGGACGCCCTTACAACCTCTCCTCGCCAGATTTCGGTTCCCAAAAGCGCGGCCGCTGCCGGGTCGCTCCCCGCTCCCAAGCCCGGGAAGCAGCGGGAGCTCGTTATGTACCCAGCAAAGGGAAGGCACAAACTGCAGGCGAGGAACCACGGCTGGGACGGGCGTTGGGAAGGGAGGAGCGAGGGACGGGGAGCAAACGACGTCGGCGAGGGCCAGCACCGCGCTTTGCTGCTTACTCTCAGGCTGAGCACCGAGCCCTCTGCCTCTCAGCTCCCTCCTCCTCCTCTACGGGAGCTTCACCCGCGCCATCATCCGAGGAGGAGGAGGAGGAGGAGCGGATG